TAGATGATGTAGAAGGTTCCCACCCTTGTTCAGTGATGGTTTCTCTAGTTTGTCATAGATGGCCTCTTTCATGTCTCTTGTGAACCAGCTGACCTCTTGGTAGTGGTGTATTTAGATTTTGTGTTGGTCTAGCCCAGGGGTCTGCAACCTTTAAGACATAAAGAGCCACTTGGACCCGTTTCCGAAGGGAAAAAAAAAGACTGGGAACCGCAAAACCATTGCAACATTTAAAACAAATCCGACACTGCATATATTGCAAAAAGCGCTCTGGTCATGAAGGGGGTTTAAGGGCCCAGTAAGCAAAGGGTTAATCAGGGCCACAGTGTATTTTCATAATCACAATCATAGCCTTAGGTCAGTGGTGGGCAACCTTTTTTTTCAACTGAGCCAAATCTCGCCAAAACCACAATTGAAATTTTATTTTGAGAGCCACATTTTTAAAACTGAAAATACATCCCCCATATAGTAATTCACCCCCCATAGTAATTCATCCCCCATATAGTAATTCATCCCCCATATAGTAATTCATCCCCCATAGTAATTCATCCCCCATAGTAATTCATCCCCCATATAGTAATTCATCCCCCATAGTAATTCATCCCCCATATAGTAATTCATCCCCCCTATAGTAATTCATCCCCCATATTGTGTCAATTCACTTACCTTTGCTCCGCGCGTTCCTCTCGCCGTGTTCCCGCGCCGTTCCGGTCTTCAGGGCGGACTGTGAGAGGAGAGGAGTTCGTCACGCTGCCCCGCCTACATCCTGACAGCCAATGTTTGCCACGCTCCGCGGGCCGGATTAAAAGGTCCGCCGGGCCGTAGTTTGCCCATTGCTGGGCTAGCTGCAGAGTCCTGACTTTTGGGGCGGCCGCCCGAGAGGAGGGAGGGGAGCGGGCGCCCGGCACACAGAAGAGCCGCATTAAAATGTGTAAAGAGCCGCGGCTTGCCGACCACTGAGCTACGGCAACCCTATTGCCTGTCACCTGGTGGGCAGTGTGCTCCGGAGCCGCAGCAAAGGTGAAAAAGAGCCGCATGCGGCTCTGGAGCCGCGGGTTGCCGACACCCGGTCTAGGCAACACAAAAATTGTACGCCCCCCTCCAATGAGAGAGCGAGAGAGTTCAATGAGTGTGTGTGTATACATATGATTCTCTCTCTTTCTCTCTCTTCTCTATCTCTTCCCTCTCTCTCTTCTCTCTCTCTTCCCTCTATCTCTCTCTCCCTCTCCCCCCCTCCATCTCTCTTCTCTCTCTCCTCTCTCTTCTCTATCTCTTCCCTCTCTCTCTTTCTCTCTCTTCCCTCTATCTCTCTCTTCCCTCTCTCCCTCCCTCCATCTCTCTTCTCTCTCCCTCTGTCTTTTCTCTCTCTCCCTCTCTCTCTCCCCCTTCCCCCTCTCTCTCTTCCCTCTCTCTTCTTTCTCCCTCTCTCTTCCCTCTCTCTTTCTCTCTCCCTCTCTTTTCTCTCTCTCTTCCCCCTCGCTCTCTTTCCTTTCTCCCCCCTTCTCTCTCTCTCTCTCTCTCTCTCTCTCTCTCTCTCTCTCTCTTCCCTCTCTCTTTCTCTCTCCCTCTCTCTTCACTCTCTCTCTTTCTCCTCTCTCTTCTCTCTATCTCTTTTCCCTCTCTTCTCTCTCTCTCCTACTAGCACATATTTCCCTCATTCCTCCTAGCAAATACCACCCCTTCCCAAAATCCCACTTCCTAGAAAAAGTGGATAGGAAAGAGCCGGGAGGAGGTGAGCTGTTTTCTGTTCTCTGGGCTCTCCCTCCTGTCATCCATCCTACTACATACTCGGATGCGGTAAGATACCGCTTAGTGAATTGTGCCCAGTAAGCCTCTCACCGGGCCCCCTACTGACTCCGGCTCTTGGGCCCCCTACTGCCCAAAGGCCCGAATGGTCAGTTCGCCCCTGGGTGGTACCCCTCAGATGGCGGCCCTGCATGGCTCACCAGGTCCCTTCTTCCGGGGGGGCAGTGCCGCCCCCCTAAAAATTGCCGCCCTAGGCAAACGCTTTGTTTGCCTTGCAGTAGATACACCCCTGCCTCTTGGTCCAAAATTTACACCTTACTGTCCTCAACAGAATGTCCCTAATCCTTAAGGTGTAGAAAAACTGCTGAGCCTTGACCTTTAGAATCTGCTCTTCTATGTCGGACATTTGTTTGTGGAGAAGTTACTTTGTCTCCCCAGTGTACAGGTCTTTGCTTTCCTCTCTGCCCTGTGTATACCATAGATGTAAATACTGGGGTAGTTTCCTGACACTCGTTAAACTGAAGAGGTTACTTGGATAAGCTACAGGATTTGTTTAATATTACAAAACGAGTCCAGTTGAATGTGACTAACTACTATTAGATATATCCTGACCTGGAAAAATGAGAAACTTCACAGACACTAACCAGGGAGGATATCACAATTTATATACCTACAGCCATCAGTTTACACTTCAGCAGCATTATAGCTAAGGTAGAATTCCTATTATTATTATTAAACAGGATATGAGAAGCGCTTTACAAAATGAATTTACTATTTAAGGTAATTACCCAGCTTACAAAAAATTAAAATAATACAGCTCTTGCTTCAATACTCACCTTGTCTTTAGTGGTGTCCCCGGCAGAAACTCTGCTCCACCACCAGTCTTCCTCCAGGATAATGTTAGCCAAGAAATGATGGCCATCATCATTTAACACACTTCATGTGAGCCCAGGAGGTCTTGCACACATCACCACCTCAACCTGGGCTCAATGACACCCCTCCCTGCAGAAGTTAGCAATGCCAACCCCGCCACAAGGAGAGGAGGAAGAAGACCTGAAGATGCAAAGCAAAAAGGAAACAACTTGATGCCAAAGTAAAGTTTAGTGTTGACCCAGGATTTCGAAAGCTGCTGTTCTGGTGTTGGCAAATGCTGTGTTGTTGCGGAAGTATTCCTTAAACCCAAACAGACCTGAAATAAATAGCTATGAAGCCAACACCACTGTAATTTTTAGCAATATTACCCAAGGATAAAATCTGCATGTTCACAAAAGGTAACATTTTGTTTTTACAGAGTGCTAAAGACATCACGTGACTGGCAAGAAACCTCTAAAAATCAAGTATCTCTTTTTTTAATGCTTGTTTTGCACGTATTTATGCGCATATTTTCACACATGTGCGTGTATCTGCACCCATATGTGCATTCAGTGGTGTATTTAGGTTTTGTGCTGTCCTAGGCAACACAAAAAATGGCGCCCCCCACAGAGAGAGCCTGACATTGACCAACAACACCTCTACATCCCACTTGAGACAGCCTTCCACTACCACTGCCCCCCATACACCAGCCGCCATCCCCCATGGCGAGAGAGAGAGAAAGACACTAACCTACACAGCTCCGAACATCCCCGGGAACAAGAGTGGGGCTGTGCATACACCGTCATGAAACCCGCAGCCTCTGTCAGAACCCACCAGGTCCCCATGTCACGTGTGTCCCTTCTTCCATCCCTTCTTCCAAGAGGCAGTGCTTCCCCCCCTGAAAATTGCCGCCCTAGGCAAATGCCTTGTGATAAATACACCCCTGTGTGCATTCACACATTTGTGCACACAATATATTCTTGGAGAAAACCGATTCATATTTATGCTTATATGTGCATATTTGTGCGTATTTGCACTCAAGCAGCGTAAATTACTGACCAAAAATGCAGATTTTTCTATTTTTTTACTGAGGTATACGCCGTGCTTATTTACGCACCTGTGTGCAAAGGCACGTTGTAAATAATGTACAAAATTTTACCTCAGTAAAAAAAAAACGCCGTACTAAGCTTTTTCAAGCTGCAGTGTGCAAGGTTACTGCTTAATCCCTTATATCCTCCATTATGGTATGCCTATGGCATAATTTTTGGATACACCTCCCTAGGGAAGTGTTCACTTGTGTGTTTGTGCTACAGGGACACTAGACTCTTGTAGCCATTTTCCCTGCTGCACATACATTTAGACCGGTTCTGGTGTCATTTTAAATGGTTTTAGGTCTGTGTGTATTGTCTCAACTGAGGTGATGGTAAACCAGGGCGAAAGCCCATATGTCATATTTTTATATGTGTAATAAAGCATCATTTTTGGAAATTTCTTCCTGTGTGTCACGTTCTGTTCACTATGTAGCCGCTTTTCTGTGAATCTCTTTTTCACAAACCCCCCCTTTTTTGTATGCCTCTTTTGGCTACTGAATGGAGACCATACATTGGGTGACACGCTAATTTATTCAATAACCTCTTAAATAACTATCTTAATGCAGTGTGCAAGAGGCCTAAAGGTATTTAAAAAAAAAATTAGATGCAGGAGCGGGTGCGTCTTCTAAAAACTGGAGTTCTGCTATAAAGTGCACCTGTAGTGATCAAAAAAGAATTTTAGCATTAATAAGTGGTGGATAGGTGGTCCCATAGTGCCACATCATATCAACCTATCACAATCAGAGCACTATTGGAGTCCTATGAAGAAAATGTTTTGAAAAAACAGTATTTGCATAGGTTTAGGAACAAGCCTGGCTCAGGCATTGAGCATTGGATTGTGAGATGGAGGAGAGATGGTGTGCCTACTTTCCACATATTCTGGCTATTTAAGAATATTTAAGTAAAGTGCAATGTGCCATCCTATAGTGCCTGCTATCCACCACGAGTAGAGGACAGTGTCTATGGATAGCCCACCTCCTTCGGTTTTACCTCCTACAGCCTCTCCCCTGCAACATCCCAGCCCGTCTAAGTACCAGTGATGTTCAATGTAAAAGGAGAACAATGTCCCTACCCCCCTCACTGAACAGTGTTTGGGCATGGTGATGGCCCATTGAGGTCCACATGCTGTCCCATGGAGAAGGTCACATGTTTCCTTATACCTGGAAGTCCTGCTACATATGTAAGAGCTCCAGTGTTCCTAAAAGTCAGTGAGGGAGTGGCTGGGAAAGTACAACTGCCTGATGGTGAGCTATGTACAGACACTGTTGTTTTTTTAATACCCTATGTGTGTGCTGATTGGAATCTTCCCAATACCTGAATGAAGCTGAATTCCCTCCAGTTTAAGGCGCTATTGACGGAAGGGATGGAAGTCACCGCCAGCAAGGAGAGCAATCCAAGGCTCATAATGCCGAATGAGATGTACATTTCCACCCTCCACACTTCTTCCTCATTCCATGAGTTGTCCACGTTACCATGAACCTACAAAACAAAGACCGTTAGTTGTAGACAGTTAAACAGATTGGTTATAATCAGGGGTGGACTGATAACTCATGGGGTCCCTGGGAAATAGGGGATCATTGGGCCCCTGTGTCCTTGCCCAAACTCAAAAAAGCCTATGAAAAAGGTACCAGGGGCATCTCATGGGGCCCCCTACTGACCCCGGGGCCCTCGGGCAGTGCCCGAGTTTCCAAATGGTCAGTCCGCCCCTGTTTATAATAAAATAAAGCTTAATGGATAGGTAGATATGCTGGCATGATCTGATGGTCCGAAGATGACTCCCATCTCAGACACAAATGTGAATGCTTGGGTCACCTGAGTATTTGTGGGTCTGAATTACATCACTTCTTCCTGGAGGAAGAACTACAGAAGGGATGTGCCAAGACTAGTGGCAAACAGGAAACCAAAGAGAATTACCAAGTAGATTTAAAAATGAATAGGCTATTTCAGAGCAACTGCTGAGTGAACCAAAAGATAGATGACATATTCAGTGAAGATAGGAAATCAGCAGCAAGGGCATGTTTTTGCTTTAATGGGTGATATGACATTTACAGGAGCCTGCGAGCTCTTCCCAACCAACACAGGGTAAAGACCAAAAGACACATATCACTGGGTCTTAAAGTAAGAGTTTCTTGAAAACAAAAGGTTTAAATGTTTTTATTTGCATGTTGATCTGTGGCGGGAAAGGAGGGGAGAATAGGAAGGGGTTGTTGGATTGGAGGTCAAGGGAAGGTATTGTATGTGTTCATTGCATGTCAGCTTTAAAAATGGCAGGATTAAAGCTCATACCTCAGATATGTACTAAACATTCAATATCTACGTATCCTTTTGCTTCGAACTGTCATTTCCTAGCTATGAATAAATTTGGCTGCCACTTGCCACTTTGAACTGTCATGCTTTCTAGAAAGTTGTAGGTCATTGTAGTATTAATTATAAATCATATATCATGTCACTAGGGGTCATCCCCATCACAGCATAAACACCTATTAGATTTTCTTTTTTGCTGTCTGGGGAAGTCCACCCACTCTATTTGTCCCGGAGACTCTAGCCACTGGGACAGAAAATGATGGGAAACCCAACTTTTTCCAGCTGTTATGACAGGTGGGAAGGGGAATTTTTCCAGTGGGGACACCTGTTATGGTGACAATTGTCCCTCACTTTTGAGAGATTTATTTTCACACCCTGTTGTATCCTTTAGGACAGATGGTGAAGGTAAATTTCCCCAATGGTAGAAATAGGTAAGAAAGAAAAAATTAACAGGGGTTATAAATTGGATGTTCAGTTCTGCTCTGGCCAGTCCCCATTTGCAAATGTGTGCAAACTAAACCCCTGTTTTTAACGTGACCTGCTAGACAGAACAATTCAGTTGGTTGCAGGCTGGTTGGTAAGTTGAGCTGAGAACTTTTCTTTGTTGTCGTTTGACATGCGTTGCCCTTCCATGTGCTCCTTGCAGCAAAGGCCAGTTATAGATTGGGGAAATTGCCATTTGTTTGTACTGTTGACACCTTTGCTGCCATTGTGCTATATGCTGGGTGTCCAGTGCACCCCTGTGCCTTTAAGGAGGGGTGGGCTCCCTCCAGGCTTACCTGCCCTTAGTCTATGTAATATTATACATGTGCTTCTACTATGGAGGCTCTCAAAACAGTATAGAGTTGGGACGGCAGATAATACTGGGGTGCTATGAAGAGGCTCTGCACCTTACACATGTATTTGCAAATGTGTGTAAACTAAACCCCTTTTTTTTAAATGAACTGATAGAACAATTTGGTTGATTGCAGGCTGGTTGGTAAGTTGAATTTTTTGCTGTTGTTTGACAGGCTTCACCTCCCCTCCGGCACTGCCACTACTTGCATGCACAGATGCACCCATGAGGCTTTGCACAGCCTTCTGGTCCTGGCAGGGCCCATTGGTACATATGTGTACACACAGGTGCATGCGCAATGACAGAGAAGGTTTTGGATTTCACTGTTGCTGACTTTGCACATGTGTGGGAAAATCCGTGCATGTGCAGATGTGCCACAGGGATCTCTCTGAAACCAAGTCCTGTGGCACAGAGGGTGAGAAGATACCTCACTTAGACGAAAAAAGAATTTGCTGCTTTGGAGCACGAATAAAGTCTATTGAAAATAAAATAATATCTACTGGTAAGGGCGGGAGAGAGACAAAGCCAGCATAAGATGTAATTTAGGGTGAAGGTCTGCTTTAACCTGTACCCACTCCAAAATGTAAAAACAGTTTTGGCTGGAGAAACACTTTAAGTAGATTTGTATGAAAAGTTTCATAATCACTGTTAGCCTACTGTGTGCACATTTATTGTATTTAAAATGACACTTTTCATTTAATATCTGGAGCCCAGGGTGGCTATCACTCACCTGTTGATAAGCAGTATTGAGAAATGAGTAGCGCTCGGACCGTCTCATAGGCAAGCACATGCTGTAGACCACATGGACGGCTGCAAAGAAGTAGCTGAGCAGACCCAGCTGTTTCCGACACTGCAACCAGTTCTCCAGCCAGTGCGGGAAGCGTCGGTACTTTGTGCCATAATATAGCTGGTGAGCCGCAGCCAGGAGCCCCGCCAAGTACACCAACGACAGAAGAGTGATGGCCACGATTGGTAAGGTCTTATTCACAATCTCTATGGGAATCTTGTAGAAGTCGCTCTGCTGGTTTTTTATATATGGGTGAATGATGTCCCTGATGAAGGAATAGATGAAGAAGAAAGTTGCCAGGCTGATGGCTACCACGACAGGACCCTTCCATGGGGTGAAGAGACGGAGAGGCAAGTTTTCAATCTCTCTGGAAGAAGATAATGTCCCCATGTCAATTGGAATAAAGTTCATCTGACGGGCAAGCTCTATGACTTGATGGCGCGCCTGGACGTTATTGCTGCAAATATATACCTGCAAACACCACAGAAGATCATTGGTATAGTAATAAAGAAATCCCACCTCATTTCAGGAGGCTTTCATTTTTTTTCAGGCAAGTTTAAGCTTTTAAGACATCATATGACCCAAGACGTTCCTTGTTTATGAGGTCATATAAATGAAACATTCCTAACAACATTTTATCAGCAAGCATTCCTCTGATGGCAAGTATAATGTCATAATGAAAAACTTGCCGAAAGGAACTGAGTTCTAAGGGCCATTTCACATTGCCTCCCTGCAGTTTTGGTTGTGGCGTGGGTGTATTCGCAATTTTCATGCAGTCAACCTGCAGTTTCCCATAGACTTTCTATTCGATTGTGTGTTTTTGGTGTGTTTTCTGATGCAGCATGCAAGACTTTGGGTGCACGTTCAGAAAACACACCAAAAACATGCAAAAAAGTCTATGGGAAACCACAGGTTAATGGCACGAAAACTGCGGGTACACTGCACTGTGGCCAAACCGCAGCCCAGCAGTGTGAAACGATTCTAAAAGTGATAAAGCTGAACTCCAGGCAAACAGCTAAACACACAGATGAAATAAATATATGAGAGCTGTTTTAGCTGCCAAAGGATTTGTATTTCTGTTTATCCAAATCTGAGATTTACACAGCTCTGCTGCACAGCACAGTCCTGTCTGGTAGGACAGGCGACCCAATGCTTCTGTTGCTCAGCTTTCTCTTCCTATCAGCTTGCCCTTTGTAAGCACATGAGCAATGCACCATAACTGATTGGCTCCTCGTACCACATCTTCCTCTCCCAGTCTGAAATCAATTGTACAGGAGACTGCAAGAGACCGATACCAGAACAAATTCAGAGACTTAAAGTGGATGTAAAGGCTCAATTACAGCCATTGAGCCAATGAGGAGAGAGGGGAGCAGGGCCAAGCCGCAGCGCTGTGTGTGAATGGACACAGTGCAGTGGCTTGGGTGCGAGCCTGTTTGGGTGCCCCCATAGCAAGCTGCTTGCTCTGGGGGCCATTGGTAGGAGGGAGCGGCCAGGAGCGCCGGCAGGGGACCCAAGAAGAGGAGGATCGGCGCTGCTCTGTGCAAAACCACTACACTTAAAAAAAATCTTTAATATCACTTTAAGCTGGTCATACATTCAATAAATTTCTTGTACAATTTTCCTTTAGATTTACCAAAAACCATATAATATGAGGTCAAACCTAAACAACACTTTCAATTTGTATCCAGTCAGGCAGGCCATTGCACTACATAGTTGAAGGTAAATCTAAGGCTAAGTTCACACATATGCAGGTTGCGTTTGAGCCGTTTCTGCACTGCGTTTTGCTTTGCGTTTTTACAGTGTTTTTGATATTTTTTTTTCTTGTTGCTAGGCAGATTTAAAATGCAAAATGCAGAAAAAGTGGCAAAAATGCATAAAAAAAGCAATACATACTTTTCTGCAGAGTTTCCATTGAAGTCTATAGAACCAAAAATGCAACTTTTTGCATTCAAAAAAGTCTCTGACCCTTTCCTAAAAACGCACCGGGTGAAAACGCTGAGATGTGAACATGCCCCATAGGAAATCATGTTAAATGGACTGTACTCCATTTCTGCAAAACGCAAAAAACACTGCAGAAAATGCTTAGGTGTGAACCTGCTAAAGGAGATTGTACAGAAATTATACAAGAAAATTATATAATACATTTTTTGTTCTTGAGTTCAGATACACTTTGATGCATTGTGTACTTATGTAGTTTTTTTAAATGCAAGCAGTGTATATACATACACCATGCATCAAAGTGTATCTGAACCCAAGAACAAAAAATGTATTATTTTGCAGCTTACTAGCCTTTAAATATGATGGCTGCATTTGTTTTCTTTTTTAGGCTTTTTTTCCCCCTTTATTTTCAGATGATATTGTGGCCAGTAACACGCCTTCTGTGTGGCTACACTCAGGGTCAGGACAAGGGGTGGGCAGGAGGTACAGTCGCCCCGGGACTCAGCAGTAGGGGGGTGCCCCCTCACCACATTTACATTCCAGATCAGTGACTGGCAACCAGCAGGCTATGGCATCATATCTGCTCTGACAGCAGCTGCTAACATTCTCCACCCCATCTTCACACATATGACACACAAAACAGACCGTATGTATGCAAGATGGGTGTGCTGCTAGATAGCAAGTGATTGGTCACTCATCTGCAGTACCCACTCCATGCCAACCATGAGCAACTGGAGCAGAAGGGCAGAGAATGGGTGAAGGGCAGTATACCCATTCTACCGCATGCATTGGCATCAGGGGAGGGGGGCTTAGTTGCCCAACCTTGCCCTAGGCATTGGATGAACCTGTCCTGGTACTGGCTACACTCACCCTTCCACATATTCTATGGAGAAGCAGCATAGCCACCCTTGGACAGCAACACTGTCAACCTATGAAGAGGGTAGTGTTAGATGAACTAGTAGAATTTGATGGTCTCTGACCAGTTCCCGCTCACCCACAGTACACAGGTGACACGAGCAGGCTGGATCATGTACATGTATGTCGTCCATCCTTTTCCGGGAGCGGGGCATGTGTTCGCCCCTGGCTAACTCACACTGTGATTGCACACAGCATGATTTTGTCAGCAGATGTCAGCCAATGATTCATGTACCCAGAACAGCAATCTGGCTGTTTTTTCTCCCTGCAAAGCCCTTCTCCCTGCAAAGTTTCTTCTCCCTCCAAATCTCTTAGTAAAAGCAGCACATATTACACTTCTCAGGCTCAAACGGGTAACCCTTGATTGCAACTAGATGTAAATCCCTTCCCAGCCATTGGCATTAGTACAGTGACAGTGTACAGTGTTATATTTGATCACTGTATTAGTGTCACTAGTGATGTCAGTGTCAGTTAGTCAGTTAGTGCTCCTCCCTGCGTGGGTCTTTTAGCACCAGATTGGCTGCCACACTATCACAGCCCCACTATATGACGCTGATCACCGCCATTACCAGCATAGCATCATAGCTGCGTAAATTCCAGTATATATCCCATAGTTTGTAGATGTTATAACTGTCACACAAACCATTTAATATACACTTATTTTTACCAAAGAATATGGCCTAAATTTATGAAGAAATTATTTTTTTTTACATTTTTTGATAAGATAAATAAGTGACTAAGAAGGTGACAAGGTGAACTCTCTCCAGTTAACGCTTTTTAAAGTGGAACTTACCCCTTTACTTTAAGCAGCTACAGCAACATTTTTTTTTTTACAGCAGCACTCTGTGCCATGATGATGTGACTCCTGTGCGCATGTGTGGGACTGACGTCACCATGGCTCGTCCATTCAAGTGGCTCAAATAGAGCACTCCCGAAAGGAAGACGGGAGGAGAAAAAGCGCCCATGACATCTCTGGAGGGCATCATTTCACAGGTAATTGTGGCATAAAGTGCTAATATGGGGTGAACACTAGCACATTATGGCATAAACATCCTGGGAGCCAATGTATTAAAAAAAAGTGCAGTTTAATTCCACTTTAAAGGATACATGGCATAACGATGGTTCAGTTTAAGAGGTTTTTAACTTACTTGGCTGCTGGCATCCCTTGGGCCTAGTTGCATTGCCCATGCAGAGATGACATTGAACCCTTTAACCACCACATAGCAGTCTGGGAAGAGTGAGGACAGATATTCGGCGTTGGATTCCGGGTACTGGTCCACTCGCATGTTATTGCTCACATCCACCAGAATCTTCCCGCTTAGTAAATGCTTTAAGTCCCACAATGAAGAATAATGTTCTCTGTGTATTGCTACAAAGATGATGTGGGCTTTCAAAATGGCATCCTCATGGTGTGTCACGTCCACCACATGTGGGAAAAAGTCGGCGGCACATTTTGGTTCCCGGCTTCCGATCACCACGTGATAACCGCACCTTATAAGCCGGATGGTCAAGGATTTGGCAAAGTCTCCACTGCCTAGGATGCCTATTGTAGTTTTTTCCTCTTTGATGCCATTTGTGCCATTGGGTAAGAAAGAGTCATTCACACTCTTCGGACTTCCCATCATTGTGATGGACTCCATAGTTCAGTAGATTGTCTTCTATCGTTTATTCCTGGGAAAACAAAAATGGCGGTTTAATTCCTATTGACTTTGAAGAGGCATTCAACTTAGGGCTTGTTTTCCTGAATTTTAAATAGGAAATTGTAATACAATTCAGCATCCGTATATATTCTCCATGCCCCCTCCCCCTGCATAAATCGCCTGCTGTTAGTATGGCCAAAACGTATCTGTAATAAAAATAAGTTAGATTATTAATGGTCTTATGCCCGAATCATTGCAAGGGCTTTTTTTATGAGATTTGGCTGCTTTGTATTCCCTGGGATTTGTATTCCCCGGTAAGGAATGTGGCATCACTTGTCTAGACGCTACAGGTGGAAGACGGTAATTATAAAGCTAGGTTCATACTTGCACGTCTGCAAATTTTTTTTTTGGATACGTTTTTCATGCGCTGTTACTGGTGCAGTATACACCTTTTTCCAAGTCACATGGAAGTGTGTTGCATAGGTATGAACAAGCCCTATAGACTAAAGACTTAAAAGTATAGCCCAAGCTTGTCTGGTCATACTTCTCTTGTGGGTCACAGGAGTCCACTTACTTCTGCTTCTTGTGACCCAGAGTCAGCTGATAGCAGGCTATTTCCCGCTATCAGCTGACATAGCAGAGTGGCTCCAGGCTCTGGAAGGATCCTGACAATTTTGCCAGGTTCCACTTAGCTGCCTGATTAACAGCTGGCTCTGCCTCTCAGTGAGTGGTTGAGAGTTGAAGCCAGCTGTGCCAACCCTCTCTTCTGCTTGACGCTCCAGTGAGTGCTGGAGGGTCAGGGTGGAGAGTGGTGACTGACAGTCACAGTTCTCCACTCCAAGCGGACTGAGAACTGAGTGATCAGCAGCACCTAAAGGGGTGCTGGGGTGGGCTGGCTCCATTATAATTGAGTTTCATCTCCCCTTCCTCAGGTCTCTGAAAGTGCAACCACTAATGTCATGATGCAGGTTCTTGATGTAAGGAGGCACACTCATGGGGACAATCTATGAAAGGGGGCACTGTGATGGGGACACTTGATGTAAGGGGGGAACTCTTATGGGGATAACTGATCATATGTAAGAGTGTACATGAGGACAATTGATGTAAGGGGGGACTCTGATGGGGATAACTGATCATATGTAAGGGTGCACATGGAGACAATTGATGTAAGGGGGGACTCTTGTGGGGATAACTGATCATATGTAAGGGTGTACATGGGGACAATTAATGTAAGGGGGGAACTCTTATGAGGATACCTGATCATATGTAAGAGTGTACATGGGGACAATTGATGTAAGGGGGGAACTCTTATGGGGAAAACTGATCATATGTAAGAGTGTACATGAGGACAATTGATGTAAGGGGGGACTCTGATGGGATAACTGATCATATGTAAGAGTGTACATGGGGACAATTGATGTAAGGGGGGAACTCTTATGGGGAAAACTGATCATATGTAAGAGTGTACATGAGGACAATTGATGTAAGGGGGGACTCTGATGGGGATAACTGATCATATGTAAGAGTGTACATGGGGACAATTGATGTAAGGGGGGAACTCTTATGGGGAAAACTGATCATATGTAAGAGTGTACATGGGGACAATTGATGTAAGGGGGGAACTCTTATGGGGAAAACTGATCATATGTAAGAGTGTACATGAGGACAATTGATGTAAGGGGGGACTCTGATGGGGATAACTGATCATATGTAAGGGTGCACATGGAGACAATTGATGTAAGGGGGGGACTCTTGTGGGGGGAAACTGATCATATGTAAGGGTGCACATAGGGACAATTGATGTAAGGGGGGAACTCTTATGGGGATAACTGATCATATGTAAAGGTTTATATGGGGGACAATTGATGTAAGGGGGGAACTCTTATGAGGATAAATGATCATATGTAAGAGTGTACATGATGACAATTGATGTAAGGGGGGGACTCTGATGGGGATAACTGATCATATGTAAGGGTGCACATGGGGACAATTAATGTAAGGGGGGAACTCTTATGGGGATAACTGATCATATATATAAGGGTGCACATGGGGACAATTGATGTAAGGGGGGACTCTGATGGGGATAACTGATCATATGTAAGGGTGCACATGTGGACAATTGATGTAAGGGGGGACTCTGATGGGGATAACTGATCATATGTAAGGGTGCACATGGGGACAATTGATGTAAGGGGGGGAACTCTTATGGGGATAACTGATCATATCTAAAGTTTATATGGGGACAATTGATGTAAGGGGGAACTCTTATGAGGATAACTGATCATATGTAAGGGTGCACATGGGGACAATTGATGTAAGGGGGGACTCTGATGGGAACCTGATGTAAAGGGGGACTCTGATAGAGTCCCCCTTTATATCACCTTAATCTAATGACAGCCTAATACATACAATTGTTTCCCAGTTCTGGACGCTGTGTGACAGTGGCTCACACACAGTGTTGACATTATTCCCCCTGACTTTTTTTCACTGCACCCCAAGATCAGATAGGCTAGATCCGGCCCTGGAGATCAGTGGTCATGTGATCACTCAGTTCTCAGTCTTATTGCTGATGTAGGACAGCTGCAGCATAGCGGTGAGTATGGATGCTTATTTTTTTTTAAACCCCAAACTTCCCCTTTTAATCTTAATTTTTTAACTGGTAAATTTTGGACCTACTATCAGTAGGTGATTTTTACAAAACAAATAAGCCCAAGCAGTATACACGGACCTTGGATTTCACTGCAAGGTCTTTAAAGTAGATTACCATTCAAAACCTTTTATTTTTGGATAGAAATTTTGTCAGCATTTTCTAAAACTGATAGCTAAGCAGAAGGCTCGGCCTTCACTATAACCACCTACACATTTTCAGCATCCCTCATGCAAGAGTCTTTGCATTTCACAAAAGATCTCTTTAATTTCACATCAATTCTGTGAAGTCAAGCTTTCAGCCAATAAAGGAAGCAGGGATGGCAGTGCTGAGGCAATCTGTACCGGGGTGGACTGACCATTTAGGCACTCGGGCACTGCCTGAGGGCCCGGGTCAGTAGGGGGCCCCATGAGATGCCCCTGGTACCTCATCATAGAATTTTGGGTGTGGTTTGAGTGTGGGCGAGGACACAGGGGCCCCATGATTTCCTATTGCCCGGGGGCCCCATGAGTTGTCAGTCTGCCCCTGATCTGTACTGTTGTTTTGGTTGCAAGAAAAATACATTTTTATCGTAGCTGGAGACAGATTAAAGTGAGATGTTACATTTTATGATAATTAAATGACAAAATGTCTTGTATAGCATTAAATATGTTTTTAACACTTTCTTTAATAAAAACAGAGATTATTTGCATGGAGATTTTTGTACACATCATAACCTGGGACTTGCATGTATAAGCATTTAATGTACCTGTCACCTATGTAAAAAGGATGCCATTCACAAAACTTGTATCTATTCATCAAAGGATAAGTTCACTTTCTGAATATGTTACACTTGTATTTAGGATGTAACATGTAATATGTGCAGCTCCCCCCACCCCCCTCATGACTGCATTAGTGGGTTTCCTCTCCCCGAAAGTTAACACAAAATAGCTTTGTCAGCAGGCGTCCGCTATCAGATTTCAAGAACATATGCACAGTTGTGCAGAGCTCTGCCCACACAGCCCTTGTCATTCATTCACAGGAATTTGTAAAAGTGAATGAACTACAAGTCCCATCTGCAGTTGCGACCACAGGAGGCTTGTAGTTCTCAATGAATTACCATGGGGTGCTGATTAGTGCAAACGTTAACAACCACCTCAAAACCGTTTGGGGAGGGGAGCATTTGAGGAGCGTTAAAAACGCTTCCCAAACGCCTGTCTAATGCCTGTCAAACGCTATAGGGGCATTTGGCAAGAGTTAGAAATAAAGTCAAGTGTGAACGAGCCTAACTGTCTACCCGTACTGAGATACGGGCAGAGACAGCTCTCAGCAGAATATGCAGGAGCCTGACATTGCACCCACGATCCACTGATGACGGGCAATGCCCTGAAACTGAAGGGCAAAAAAAAATAATAAATGCACATTTTTACTAGCAAGATAATGTACATTCATTATTTTTTTTTAAAAAGGTGAACTTAGTTTTTAAAGTGGATGTGAGCTGCCATGGGTCTCCAGCAGCACATACAATAATGTGTTAGTAGACACAGTGGACTTGTACATTATGGCAAACTTACCTCTTAGTTTTCTTTCTCCAGTGATGCAAGGTCTGAGCTCCTCACCACCACTGCCAAAAAACAGACAAACTATACCTAAAGCCCTGGTTCACACCGCTGCGATTTCAGGTGCGATTTGGGAATTGAAATCGTACCTGAAATCGTATCTAATGAATGTGAATGTGAGTGTCTTAACATATGTGATTTGCTGCAGCGTGATTTCAAAACCAATTCTTGTATTACTTTTTCTGCAGTTTGTTGCGATTCCACATACAGACTACAATTGAAATCACACTGCAAAATGCAATGGAAAACGCACAAAATCGTTGGGAAATCTTCACAAAACACAGTGAAATCGCAAACAGAACACGTGATTTTAAATCGCATCCAGTGGGAACCAAGCCTAAAGTGTTACCAAACCCCGGACTCTGCATTCACTATATCTGGTCTCCCACAGTACACACAACATGGAAATGCAATTATTTTAGTAATTTGTCACCATTCTATGCGTGTGCACAATTTTGAAGCATGACATGTTTGGTATCTATTTACTCGGCATAACATCATCTTTTATATTTTATTCTCTAGGGCCTCTGCTTAGAAAAAGTATATAATATTTTGGGGTTCTTTCTAAGTTATTTTCTAGGAAAAAAAAATCAGATTTTTGCATGCATGACAGAAATGTCAGAATTGCCCCAGTAGGCAAGTTGTTAAAATGTTACTAAACTTCGGACCCTGCATTCACTATATCTGGTCTCCCAGAACTCTGCATTCACTATATCTGGTCTCCTAGGACCCTGCATTCACTATATCTGGTCTCC